AGTGAACTCGGAATGATTCTTTACCTTCAGCCTTTATGTTTTTCCCCCACCAGTGCTGGAGGTAGAACTCAGGGCCTCACATTTGCTTGGCTTGTACTCTTCCACTTGAGTCATGCATGCAGTCTAGCTTTTTGCTGGTGATTTTGGAGATGGAATCTCACAGACTTTTCTTCTTGGGCTAGCCTTGAGCCCCAATCCTCCAGATACCAACCTCCTGAGTGGCTAGGACCAAAGGCAGAGGTTCTGGTACCCAGCAAGTTCTGGACTTTGGAACTGATGTTCTTAGTGGATGAGATCAGGAAGAGCTCACAGAGGGCAGCAGCAGTATTCAAGAGGGAATTTCCTCGAATTCCTACTGAAATCCCTGACTTGGGTCCAGCCCTTCCCTAGGCAAGTGCACCCAGAGATTGCTGGCTTCTATAAAACACCTCAAAATGTGGTTTGAATTTTGTCCCTTCCCAAAGTGATGTTTCAATGTTACTGCCAGGGCTTAGAGTACCTCAGTGGTTTAGCCTGTGTTTAGCATACACACTACCCTGGGTTCCATTACACACACACACACACACACACACACACACACACACACACACACACACACACACACACACACGGACATGGCACTGTGGGGGGCTGATTTTTACTCCATCTTCAGAGAAGCATCTTAGGGCATTTCCTATCTATGAAGAGCTCAGGGTGGAATTCTTCTGAAGAGCAGGACACAACTCTGTGTGTGCTGAAAAACACACACTGTATGAAACAAACAGAATGTGCTGGAAGCATGCACTGACTGACAGGCTATCTTGGGATTGGATCTCTAATGCTTACTCATTTGTCCACACCCCCCCCCCCCAGGATGTAATCCACTGGTAGAGTGGTTGTATAGCTTGAGCAAGGCCTGTGCTGGAAAACTTTATGCCATAAAATAACAATTAAAAGGGTAGCTGCGTGTTTTAAGTATGTGAAATGTATTCATTAATGTTTTGTTTTTGGTGTTTTTTGCCAGTCCTGGGGCTTGAACTCAGGGCCTAAGCACTGTGCCTGAGCCTCTTGGGCTCTACCACTTGAGCCACAGTGCCACTTCCAGCTTTTTCTAAGAAGTTTATTGGAGATAAGTCTCCCAGGGCTGGGAAGGTGGCTCAGTGGTAGAGTGCTTGCCTAGCATGCATGAAACCCTGGGTTCAATTCCTCAGTACCACATACACAGAAAAAGTTGGAAGTGGCGCTGTGGCTCAAGTGGTCGAGTTCTAGCCTTGAACAAAAGCAGCTCAGGGACAGTGCCCAGGCCCTGAGTTCAAGCCCCAGGACTAGCACACCAGCCTAGGCTGGCTGCACCATGATCCTCAGATCTCAGCCTCCTGAATAGCTAGGATTATAGGCGTGTGCCACCAGCACCCTGCTGATAGGTTTAATGAAGAATAGGCTCTTGAATGTGGTTTTCTTGAGTGCATTAATTATGCCATCCAGTCTGCCTCCTGTTCCCCTGCTTTTCCTTTCCTGTGCTTCAGTTCCTCCCATGTCCCCCAGGGCCTCCATCTCAGCCTCTTGGCCTCCATATCACCTTAGTCTCCCATTGCGCTGTCTCTCCCACAAATCCTGCCTCTCCCTTTTCTTCCCCAGTGTCCCCCATCTCTTCCCTTTGCCCATGCTCTGTCTCTTCCTCTCTCTCCTTAGTCTTGCTAGATGGCCAGGGAGGCTGGCTTTGCACACAATACTCCCGTTTCAGTCTCTCAAATGCCATGCTTACAAATATATACCACCACACCCGGGTTCAGTCTTATATTTTCACCCCTTTACTCTTCCTCTCAGCTACCCCATCTCTATCTTTCTGTCTGTCTATTCCTCAGGTCTTCCCTATAGTAACAGTGAGCTAGGGCAAAGACAATTTCTAGAACTTCATAATTGTAGCAATCGATTTTTAGAACTTCACAATTATAGGAATCAACTTCTAGAACTCACAAATGTGGGAGTCAACTTCTAGAAGTCACAATTGCAGAAGTCAATTTCTAGAACTTCACAATTGTAGGAAACTAGTTTCAAAAGCTTGTTGGCTACAAATAGTTTCAAAACAATCTGTCCCTGAACTCAGGCAGAGTTTAATCCCAAATAAGGTGTGAGTGTGTGTGTGTGTGTGTTACTGAGATTTAAACTAAGGACCTTGTGCTTGTTTGGCTTGCTTCCTTGGCTGGCCCTCTACTACAGGAGCTATGCTTGTAGCTCAACTCTTTGCTGATTATTTTAGAGATGGAATCTCACAGACTTTATTTTGCACCGGCTGGCTTTGAATTATAATCCTCCAGATATCAGTCTCCCAAGTAGCTATCTATGATTGCAGGCCTGAGTCACCAACACCCAGCTAATTCCCAAACTATTATGTTAAAGGCATTGAGAGGTGCAAACATCCTCGCACTATGGTGTTTAGAAGTTAGAGCCTTTGGAAAGTGGCTGGGATTAGCTTTAGGGTAGAGCTTCCATGATTGAGCATTGATGGTTTTACTAGGAGGGAGAGAATAGATAAGGATACACAGACACGCCGGCACATGCTCATACCTGTAATCTTAGCTATTCAGAAGGCTGAGTTCTGAGGATTGTGGTTCAAAGCCAGCCTGGGTGGGAAAGTCCATGAGACTTTCTCCAATTAATAACCAAAAATCTGGAGGTGGAGTTGTGGCTTAAGTGGTAGAGTGCTAGACTAGAGCAAAAAGTTCAGGGACAAGCCCTGAATTCAAGCTCCAGGAGGGCCTCTCTCTCTCTCTTCCTCTCTCTGTCTCTCTCTCTCTCACACACTTACTTCAGTCATTTAGATGGTTGGAAGAGAGGGTGCTAGAGCAGAAAAGAACCTCTGCTCCTACCCTCTCTGTGCTTTGGCTTGTCCATTTGTGAAAAACAAGGAGATCTCATTCGCTAAGAGGGTAAAGCGGCTCACGAGCAGGCTTGTGGAACCCTCACCCTGTGTTCTGAAAGTTTACATGACAGCTGTTTGTGATCCAGACACGATTCTGACACTCTGTATTTTTACACCAAACACAGGTCCCTTAGACCCAAAGCCCAAGCCCATAATCATTTCTCTGTGTTGGGTGCCTGTGCTGTCCCTTGCTGTGCTCAGAGACGCACAGCCACTGTCTGTGTAGAAGGCGCGTTCTGAGCCATCTTCCATCCGGTGCCAACGTCGTGTGGGGCAGCTCTCCTCCTACAGGTCTCTCTTGCAGCTTCTAGAAATTGTTTCTAAATGGAAACAGACCAGCAGAAGCTTCTGGAACCAGAAACAAAGTCCCTTGGCCCCCACAGTTTTGTGCAACATGCTCTTTCCAGATGCAGAGCAGTCATAATCATAACGAAGCTTTTAGAAAATGCTGTTCAATTATGGGGGGTGAGGGAGTGCGTGTGCGCGCGTGCACGCTAATACTGAGGCCTACACCCAGGGCCTTGCAGTCTCACTTGGTCACCTGACCCCCCTCCATTCAAGGCTGGTGCTCTTCTACTGCTTGAGCCACATCTCCATTTACAGCTTTTTGCTGGCTAACTGGAGATAAGAGTCTCTTAGATTTGTCTGCTCAAGCTCACTTCAAACTGTGATCATCAGAACCCAGCCTCTTAAGTAGGATACCATCGAAGACATTTACAAATGCCCCTCTGCAAGCAAAGAGAAACTCTCCACAGAGTAACATCTGGAACATTTGTGTATTTTGATACATTTTCCCGGTCCAAGAAACTCAGAAAGGTAGAAATAAACCACAAAACAGTATCCTTCCAAACATTCTATTCTAGGTATGCAAAAAATGTGTCTCATTGCAACCTAAGGACAGGAACAAAGACACAGAAGACCAGATGCACAGGACTGCCATGTGCTACATACATGAAGGTAAGGTGTAGCATGAAGGTCTTTTCTTCTTCTTCTTTTTTTTTAGTATTAAGCTTTAAAGTTTTAAAAACATCACCACAAGATTGACATAGATATCAAAAGAAGCTGAGCTTTCCCAGGACTATAAAAAGTGACCTTTTGACTCCCAGATAAGGGTCACCTCTGTCACCAGATGTGTTTCCTGTTCTTCCTTTCATGTATTACTTAGGGAATTGTTACCACTCGAGAATACTCTGTGTGTGTGTATGTGTGTGTGTGTGCGTGCGTGCGCGTGCGCGCGCACGTGCTCATAACGGGAAGCAGGTTCACCTTTGGGACAGAACATGTTCCAGTAAGCTGGAAGCCACCGTGTTTTCATTCTAGAACAAGGAATCTGCCGTCCTGTTTTGGTGGCACTGGACACCCTTGAGATAACATGCTCCAGCCCTAAGCAATATGGTGGCTTTCTTGCTTCTCTTCTTTTGTTTGCTTTGATTTCAATGTGCAACCATTCCATTCCATTTCCATCCTCTTTTTTTTTTCCTTCCATTTTGAAGGTTGCTTCATCATCAGGTCTTTAAGAGCTTAAAGAATTCAGTTATAGAGGAGGATAGATATACAGATGGGGTGATTTCTAATCAACTTCAAGACATGCATGAATGAGAGAATAAGGCAGAAGTTCCAAGGTGGGTCAAAGGTTCCAAAGAGGTGATCTGAGAAGGGCAGCCACCTGCAGCCCTCTCCAGGTGAACCCAGAAAGGGGGCAGCCGCCGCGTGCATGTCTCTGTACCAATCACACAGCTCCACTGAAGGAAGGCCGACAGCTGTCCAATTCACCCACAGAACTCTACTGTGTGTCTTCTCTGCTCCCAATTTACTCATCCAAAAGCAAGTTTGAGGCTCTCACGCTCCCGGAGGGGCAGGAGAGCTCCGTCCAGGTCTCCACGGGCACATTCTCTGCTTTGTGCTCCAAGAACCATCCGGGCTGATGCTGCCACCTGCTGCTCTTCCCGCAGTGCTCACTAAGATCTTCCCTATGACCCACCCGAGGCTGTACTTCCACTCCAGGGTGCCCAGGGGCCTGGCCACACCCAGGCTCCATTCCTGTCTTCTTCTTCGACATCTTACACATCAGTTTTGTTGCATCTGCCTGGCATTTCCCTTAGGAGCGAATGTGCAGAATTTTCTTAAATGCCTTCTTGAAGTTCTCATTGCACAGGGGGTAGATGAGGGGGTTCAGGGTGGAGTTGATGTAGCCCAGCCAGATGGTGAACATGTGCACGTGCTCGTTGCAGCAGCTCTTGCAGAAGGCGATGACCATGAAGAAGATGAAGTAGGGAATCCAGCAGAGAATGAAGGCCGCCATGATAAAGCCCAATTGTTTGGCCGCCTTTCGCTCCCGGTTCAAGTGCAACCCAGACATATACTGTCTGGAATGGGAGCGCAGCCTCTTCCAAGTGAACTTGATGTAATCCAGGCCGGTGCTGGACCCACTCCTCGATTTGCTTCTGCCAGACGCTAGCTCCGTGCTGGTATCTGAGTCTGTGGTCCGAGAGAAGGACTGTCTGTCAGCCAATGTACAGTCTTCTGACAGGGCGCTGACTTTGCCCATGTGCAGACTCTGTGCCTCTGTCTTAAGCTGGTTCTGGCTCTGGTCACTGGTATCACAGGCCCTGCCGCCTCCCTCGGCCACGGCTTGCATGTGCTCGGTGTCCAGCGGGAAGCAGTGGACTTCGGCAGCTTCTCCCTCCTCCTCCTGGCTCAAGCTAATGGGGGAGTTCAACTCCTTGGAGTCTGGGGACTTCAAGACAGTTCCACAGGTGGTATCTTGGGACGGCCTTTTCAGAATCCCCCAGGGAGACTCCTTCCCAGGTTTCTTGGAGCTGACCCCGGCATCCTCTGACTTCAGCTTAATTTGCACAAAAGATGGAAGGGATCCGTTGATGAGCTCACGGTGCTGGCAGTGTTGTCGGACGGCCTTGTAGATCTTGGAGTAGAACCAGAGCATGAGCAAGGTGGGCAGGTAGAAGTTGATGATGGCGGTCATGATCTTGAACCAAGTGACATCATAGAAGTCTGTCTCGCACTTGTTTTTGTGGCGCTCTGGGATCTGGGCCATGAAATGATGCCAGCCCAGGATGGGAATAACCCAGAGGAAGGAGAGAAACCAGGCCCCCAAGATGGTGGCCAGTGCTCGGGTCTTGGTACGGTATCTCAGGTACCTGAGTGGCTGCTGGACTGAGCGGTAGCGGTCGATGCACAAGATGAAGACACTGAAAATGGATGCTGTGCTGGCCACGTAGTCCATGGAGAGCCAAAACAGGCAGAGGGGGCGGCCCAGGGACCACCTGGGCATGAGGAGGTAGAGGATGTTCACGGGCATGACGATGGCGCCCACGATCAGGTCTGCCACCGAGAGGCTGATGATGTACAGGTTCCCCACGGTGTGCAGCTTCCGCTCGCGCCGGACGGCGTACAGCACCAGCAGGTTGAGGCCCACAGTGACCAGGGAGATGCTGCTCAGGACCACCACCAGGGGCATCCACTGGGGGCTGGCCATAGCGGTCCTGTTCCCCTCGCACATCTTGTCTTCTAGGACATGGGAGGTGTTGTCAGGGGTCATCAGCACGGGGAGGGGGGGCAGTGTCCAGCTTTGGCTCCCTCCCTAAGAGAGAAGATACAAGCAAGGGTTGAGGGACACAGATCTGGTGATGAGAAGCCCTTGGCAGGTAGCACCACATTTATCAAACAGAAGTATATGCCGGGGGTGGGGGGACATAGATATAGGGGGCAGGAGATACAACCCATCAGTCACACCTGGAACTCTTCTTCTTCATTCACTCTTTCTATGTTATTTTAAGTCCTGGGACTTAAACTCAGGGCTGGAGCACTGACATTTAGATTTTTGGTGTTTTGTTTTTGCCAGTCGTGGGGCTTGGCCTCAGGGTCTAGGCACTGAGCGCCTCTGTGCTCCAAGGCGAGCACTCTACCACTTGAGCCACAGCACCACTTCCAGCCTTTTCCGTGTATGTGGTTCTGAGGAATGGAACCCAGGGCTTCATGCATGCTAGGCAAGCACTCTACCACTAAGCCACATTCCCAGCACTGATCTTTAGTTTTTTTGCTCAAGGCTGATGCTCTACCACTTGAGTCACAGCTCCATTTCTGGCTTTCCTGCTGGTAAATTGAGATATGAGTCTCATGGACTTTCCTACCCAGGATGGCTTTGAACTGCAATCCTCAGATCTCAGCCACCTGAGAGGCTAGGATTACAGGTATGAGCCACCAATGCCTGGCTCACTCGTTCAATGTTCACTCATGCATTCAGTGACTCTTGCTGAGTTCCTGACACTGTTCTGTGGAGGGTAGATTATTAGATAACAAATCCTTGCCCTCACAGAGCTTACACTCAATCTAGTGACAGAGTTGGGCCAAAATAAAGGAAGTAAACCATTTATGTCTCATCCTGTGTGTCTTCTGGGAAGGTGGGCTCCTTCTTGGTTGGCTGAAGCTGTATGTAGAATTCAGTTCTGATTAGCCAGCCACTGGTCTAGAAGCAGCCAGCCAGACCTGTGACCAAGGAAGTACAGATGGGGCCCAAGCAAAGTTCTTCCTCTCTGACAAAGGGAAACAAACAAAAACCACAAGAAAAAGTATCCTCTCCCACTTGCTTCTCTCTTCCTGAAAGGATTGGAGCTGGGCCATCATTTTGGGGCAATGAAGGAAATGCCAAGTAAACAGTGAGCCCCGTTACAGCCAAGCTGATAAGCCAGTTTTGGAACCTTCTTCCTTCAGACTTGCTAAGTAAGGAGGCTTAAGCCATTCCTCACCAATATGGGGAGGTGACAACAGTATGCCTGAGGCACTCAAACCATGAAGTGAACGCGGTGTATCCCCAGGAAGGAAGGTGCTTGGGCTGGGAAGGTAGCTCAGGAATAGAGTGTACGCTTAGCATGTACAAGGCCCTGCAGTCTCCAACCCTGCACACAAAGTATTGATTTGTATAGTCTGGGTAGTTGGAAAATGGTTTTCACACTGAAATGCTCCTACTTTTCTGGGGTCCGGTCGTGGGGCCTGAACTCTGGCCTGGGCGCTGACCCTCAGCTCTTCAGTTCAATGCTAGCACTCTACCACTTGAGCCACAGCGCCACTTCTGGCTTTTTTTTTCCTGCTTATGTGGTTCTGAGGAATCGAACTCAGGGCCTCATGCATGCAAGGCAAGCGCTCTACCACTGAGCCACCTTCCCAGCCCATGCTCCTACTTTTCTAATGGGTAAATTTCATAATAAAATGTTAGGGCAAGCGAACACAGTATAACTCAACTCTTCCATCTTGGAACTGTAATTCTTTTTTCCATGTGCTTCTTCCTAGTGTTTAGGCATGACATTCTGTGTGAAGATAAAAGCAAAAGATCAGGGGCTAGGGCAGACCTGAGTGAGTAGTGTGCGTTTAGCACGTGCCATCCATCCCCATGCGCCAAAACAACACAAAGTGAACCAACAAGCACTTGTTAGAGGACCAAACAGGGCTTGGGGTGTGCATTTGTCTAGGGTTTCTATCCTCAGCACACACGTGCATACACAGAAAAGAAAGAAAGAATGAATCAACAAATACATGGGACAAGATGTGCTGAGTATGTCAGCTCTGAGAAGCCATTCCTTTTCAGCTAGCGCATGGCTGCACTCTGGGAGGAAGCTCAGACCATGGAGAATTCTTTTATTTTTTGTCAGTTGTGGGGCCTGAACTCTGGGCCTGGGCGCTGTCCCTCAGCTCTTTAGCTCAAGGCGAGTGCTCTACCACTTGAGCCACAGCGCCACTTCTGGCTTTCTGGTAGTTCATTGGAGATAAGAGTCTCACGGACTTTCTGCCTGGGATGGCTTTGACCCACGATCCTCAGCTCTCAGCCTCCTGAGTAGCTGGGATTGCAGGTGTGAGCCACTGGCTCCTGGCTCTGGAGAACTGTTAGAAGGCAGCTGCAGAGTGCACCCACTGCCTGCACATGTCTCGCACAGGGCCTGAGGATCCCGAGCCTTTTCCAGAGAAGAGATAAAATCCAAAGGAGCACTGAGTTAATTTGGCCACACAGAGGTGGTGGGAGGAGCAGTGCTTGCCTGGAAAACGCTGGTTCCTGGGAAGGAGAGGCCACAGCCTGAGGAATGTGAGTGCTTCCCAGGACACACCCACACCCACACCCACCCACACCTCTCTTGGCAGACAGGCAGGGGCAGGGAGAGGACATCATGGGTCCCACTCATTACCTCACTGGTGGGAAAATGAAAAGACAGAAGTCCCACTTTCTGGGATCAAACCCCAAGCTCTGCCTGTGCCAGTGGGTATCTACCCTTGAGATGCCCACAGCCAAAGCATGAAAAATATCTATGGGATTAATAATTTCACAGGTGGGAACCACTGGCTTCTGCCTGTAACCCTATTCAGAAGGCCAAGATCTGAAGGTGATGGTTCAAATTGTCCTGAATAGACAAATTTTGACTTTTACCTAGAAACTTCAGTGTTAACATTTTCTTTTATGGGAACTCAAATACAAATAAAGATATATGCATGGCCAGGCGCCAGTGGCTTACACCTGTAATTCTAGCTACTCAGGAGGCTGAGATCTGAGGATCGAGGTTCAAAGCCAGCCCAGGCAGGAAAGTCCATGACTGAAACTGGAAGTGGCACTGTGGCTCAAGTGGTAGAGTGCTCGACTTGAGCTGAAGAATGCAGGGAGAGCACCCAAGCCCAGAGTTCAAGCCCCACGACTGACAAAAAAAGAAAGAAAGATATATGCATGAAGATACCCACTGCAGCATTATTTATGACAAATAAGTATCTGGCAGGTGCTATCTGTGGTTTGGCTATTGTCTGGGTGTGTCCCGCAAGGGTTTACATGGTAGAAGTTTGGTGATCAGTGTGGCGATGTCAGAGATGAGACTTTTAAAAGTTGGAGCACAGCGGCTGAATTCAGCCTGTGACCCCTGCTGCTCGGGAGGCTGAGATCCGAGACGTAGGCTGGGAATCACAGTCCGAGGCTGCTGCATTCAGGAGACTCCATCTCACTCCATGGCTGGGCAGACTGGCAGGTGCCTATCACCCTCGGCAATATGAAGAAGTACAAGTAGGAGGACGGCAGCCCAGGGCAAAAAAAGTAAGACCTTATTCTAAAATAACTAAAGCAGAAAGGGCTAGAGGCATGGCTAAAGTGGTAAAGGACCAACCTAGCAGGTACAAGGCCCTGAGTTCAAAATTCAGTATCTCTGAAAAATAAACAAAAATGGTGGGGGCCAGTGAAAGGTCTTTAGCTCACTGCAGGAGCTGCTTTGGAAGGGATGGAGGCTGCTGCTGTAGCACCCCAGCAGTCTTGAAAGACAAAGCTGTTGCACAGGGCCAGCCAGGATCAGCCAAAGCTTGGCTTTCTGTCTTCACATGTGGCCTTTGCTTCTCACACATGTTCTCAGCATGGTGCCATCCACCAATGGGACTGCCTATGCAAAACCACAGGCTACATACATCTGTGCTGCATACAGCCGGGCATTTCATTATAGTCATGGAGAATGGATTAGGACAATGGGGGTAAGCTACAAAAAGACTAACACACAGCCACTCAAAACCACATCTATAGTGCAGTAGCAATGGCATGGGATAATGTTTATAATGAAGTTGAATTTACAAAAGAGATTTCCTGTGCAGGACGGCACCAGCTCTGATGGCTCCCAGGCCTCACTGCAGAGGTAATTCTGCTGCGTTAACAGTAGTTTTCTCTGGGTAGTGGATGGTACTTATTATCTTCTGTATTTCTTACAATTTCAACAATGAGTATCTTGGTTTGACAATAGGAAAAATTAGAACTAACCAACTATGTTCATTCTTTTCTTTTCTGGTAGCAATGGAGTTTGAACTCTGGGTCTTGTGCTTGCTCAGAAGGGACTTTACCATTTGAGCCATATACCCATTTTTTAAAAAATGGTATTTTCCCCCTTTGGTGGTATTGAGGCTTCAATTCAGGACCTTGCTTTTGGCAAGCAACTCTACCACCTGAATCTGAGACATATTATCTTTTCATTTAAAGTTATTTTTCAGATATGTCTCATGGTTTTTGCACAGACTAGTCTTGGGCCATGTTTTCCTACCTGTTTCCCTGGTAGCTAGGATGACAGGCGTATACCACTTTATTTGATGACATGGAATCCTGTGAACCTTTGGTCTAGGCTGCCCTTGAATCACAATCTTTTAGATCTCTGCCTCCCAAGTATATGGGATTATAGGTGTGAGTCATCACACCCAGCTTTGAAACACATTTCTTCATTTAAAAAATCATTATAAATAAATAACCTATTTCCCACATGTTTAGCAACGCTGTGAGGGTTTGAGACATCTTTCTTGATTCCTTCCAAACCTCCTCACCACCACTCCCCATTCCAGGCTGCTCTACCCTTGGTTCATTTGCATGATGGTTATTTCAGCCAAGTAAGAACATTAATTTCTTTGCTCTAATTCCAAGAAAAAGGCGTCCTGCACAAGGGTGTGCCAAGGACTGCATATTCTCATCAAACCTGAGCAAAGCATCATTTCCATAAAGCCCCACAGATCCAGGGCCACCGCCTGTGCGCACAGAGCAAACAGTAA